GACAAATTGATCATACGTGTTACCTAATGTTCCTTTCAAATTCTTTGGAAGGTTTTGGCTGATATGAAAAATACAATATAATGAATGAGTATTTTCATATACTTGTTTTAACGCACTGTCCATCGCTGGATCTGCATCCATCACAAAGACCATAGGCTCAACACCCGTAGCTTTCATAGTGCAGTAAAGAATCTATAGGTATGAGTTAACAGTTTCATCAGAAACTAACGCTTGTGCAACTAAACGAGATCTTGTATTATTATCAACAGCAAGGAACAAACTCAAAGGCATCTAATATCGATTCGTCTTAGATGTATTATTATTTAGAATAACATCATGATATTCTAGCCAAAGGAATATCTGTTCAGGAGTTATCCAGAAAATCCGGGTGAGGCGGTTATCGCTATCTAACTCAAATTCAACACTCCAACCTGACTCTTCTGAACGCTTCTCAGTAAGATAAAATAAAAGCTGTGAGGCATCATTTTTAAGATCTTTAGACTTAACTTTATAATGTTGAATAGCATTAGCAAGATCCATATCTAAGAAAGTTGCATCAGGGTACTTTGCTCGTAGTAATTGACGCTGTATAGTAATCGAAAGATTTCCATTTTTTGTATAAAACTCAATATCATTCAATGTTTCATCTCCAATTGACCTGAACTTAGCATTGTATTTACACTTTTCAGGCTCGAGTTCATGGTTGTGAGTATTTACAAATGTTGTAACTGTAATGTGATTGGATTTTTTAGGCAAACTTAGATTGATATACCATTCACATCCTTTACGTTTCGATTGTCGGTTGTGGTGAGCGTTAATATCAATACTCTTCTTAGGTACATATTTTCCTTCAAACTCACATCCAAAAGTTCTATGTCTAATTACACCATCATTACGCTGTTCAACTCTTATTTTAATAATAGCAAACCCATGATACCAACCATAAGCTTTAAAAAAAGCTTCAACGTCATCCCATGAAGGAAACATATAACCAAGTTTTAGTAAGGAAAAATCATACTGTGTCTTGCCTATAAGATAAGTTTGCAAGCTTAAAATGTTAAAACTAACCCTATAACAAACCATAACTTCATACTACAGTATTACTAATACCTCTGTTAACCTCCTCAGTAGTTGCTTCATCGTAAACTGCATTTTCGCAGAGGACATTAGTCTCAGTGTCAATCGTATATGAGCTATTAGGTTAAACATTAACCATGTAGGAGGTACTGAATTCAGCATTTAATGCACCGGAGGTACTGGTTTTAGCAATAAACGCGTAGGAAGTGCTACTTTCAATATTTGCCACTTGATCAATCATAACCATATAAGGGGTACTGACTTCTGCATTAACCGCGTATGAGGTACTGGTTTCAGAATTAGCTGTGTAAAAGGTACTGGCCTCAGCATTAGTCAGTTGAGCAACCATATTTAAACGTCGCTTCTACCTGCTCAATGTCAAATTTATTAGTTTATAAAAATGCAATAGTATACGTTACTCCTAAGAACAGTTAAGAACGTTGTCACGTCACGAAATCAGTTAGGAACCAAATATTAGAAATGAAGAATTAATGAGAAAAAAGATACAAGGTAAGCTCCGTTAGAAGTTACTTGAAGAAAAGAGTGCTATCACATTATCACAAACTGAGAAATAAATACGCGTTCACTTACACGTGATCATCAAATGTTATATCTATAACCTGTAACAAATAATTTATATTACAGGGTGTAACATTAACATTTATCCATTAAAAATATTCATTTTTATTTAATAACATTAAAGCCCGGTGCGTAGCACCGGGTTAGAAACTAGTCAAACTATATAAAGCACAAACCTGCATTATGGGGTTACTCAGGACATTTTTCCGGGCCCCTAATATAAAGCGCAATTCTGCATTACCAAAAATCTGTGACCACTTATGCAACATAGATTTTGGTTTGATTAAATTTTCTTTAATAATTAAAGAAAGTTT